CTAACGTCTACTACAGTTTTTTTTAATAAAAAAATTAAGAAAAGGTAATAAACAGTCCTAATATAACTAATTATTATCATTACTCTTTGTGTTTTTTCGATTTTAAATTTTTAATTAAGTCTTTGGTTAAGCTTATTAAACTTATCTAGGGGACAGTGTATAATATGATGGTATTTATAAAGGAGCTCTTAGATATCTCAAATAACCTTATAGGATGCTTCCTTCAAAAGCTAAGTTTTCTTGTAGTTAACTTCATTCCTACGTGTTAGAGCTAAGTAGAAAAGTTATCTTGTAAGTTGCCTTGTTGAATGCCTTTAACAGTGATTAATTTTGTGATTTCATAGCTTATTTTTATGTTAAAGAAGAGTTGAATGATCTACTATAAGTTAGTGTGGAAAGGTGGAAGCTAGTATATTTTGGCTTTATAAAATCCTGAAAAAAACATTAAAGATAGTATTGTACTTATCTTCTCATATTGTACTTATCAGAATATATTAAAAAATTATTTAAGTAATACAATGAGGGTGTACTTGCAATAAAAATTTATTTAAGAAGAAAGAAGAAGAATTTGGGTGCTTAATGGGAAATGTGTTGGCCCTGATTTGCTCGCTCAGGATAGTGTCTTCCTTTCGATATATTTGTCGTGGAACAATGGAAATTGCTAGAAAATATTTAAAATTATTATTATTATTTAAGATTATATAAAAAATTAGATGGAGTTAACTATGGTTAAATACTACTAGTTATATAAGTAAATAAGGTGACAAGTGTCATTTAATTATTGGCTTGGTGTATACACCGAGTGCGGGTAAGTTTTTCCTAGGAAAGAGGCTAGCTAGGAACAGTAGGATATACATGAATCTTTTAATGGAGAAATTGGGGGAAACTAATACGGATAAATAGAGAGAATCTCATGAGAGAGATATTATGATACATTTTAGGTGAGAGAATCTCAAGGGAGAGATTTTAGGGATATGAAAAGTTGTAGATTTTAAAGTAAATTGTATTTTATATAATCTATATCTATATACTATATTAAAAGCACAGAGGCCCTTAGCGAAATATCATCTTTTTTGCCCTTTAAAAAAATTTTATACTAGACAAAATTGGCATTTACCTATTTTTCCTAATATTTTGGACTTTGAAATAAAATAAAACTTTATTTATTAAAACTTTCCATATTTGAATTATTATGTAGCAACAACAACAACAACAATATACCCAGTAATATCCCACACTGTGAGGTCTGGGGAGGGTAGTGTGTACGCAGACCTTACCTCTACCTTGTGAGGATAGAGATGTTGTTTCCAATAGACCCTCGGCTCACGAAAGTATAAGCACCACATTAATAAAAATATAGATAAGAAGGGACAGTACCAAAAATCCATATAAAAGCAGAATAAAAATAATAAGACAGTATGGTGATCAATAATGAAAAAAATAATGGTTAGTCATAAAAATCTACAACCAACAGAAAGCGAGATTGCGTGCCAATACTATTGTTATGAACACTCTAGACTACCTACTTTACTACCCTAATTCTCGATCTCCATATCTTCCTATCAAAGGTCATGACCTCGGTCAGATGAAATTGCGCCATGTCTTGCCTATTCACCTCTCCCCACCTCTTCTTTGGCCTACCTCTACCTCTCTGTAGGCCCTCCAATATCAACCGCTCACACCTCCTCACCAGTGCGTATGTGCTCCTCCTCCTCACATGCTCAAACCACCTAAGCCGCGCTTCCCGCATCTTGTCCTCAATAGGGACCACACCCACCTTGTCGCGAATAAACTCATTTTTGATCCTATCTAATCTGGTGTGTCCGCACATCCATCTCAACATTCTCATCTCTGCTACCTTCATCTTCTGGACATGAGCGATCTTGACTGGCCAACACTCAGCCCCATACAACATCGTTGGTCTGACCACCACTCTATAGAACTTACCCTTAAGTTTCGGTGGCAACTTCTTGTCATACAAAATACCGGAAGCGAGTCTCCATTTCATCCATCCCGCCCCAATACGATGTGTGACATCTTCATCAATCTCTCCATCCCCCTGAATAATAGACCCAAGATACTTAAAACTCCCTCTCATAGGGATGACCAGCGAGTCCAGCCTCACCTCCCCTTCCATTCCTTGAGTCTCACCACTGAACTTACACTCCAAGTACTCTGTCTTAATCTTGCTCAACTTGAAACTATTAGATTCCAGGATCTGCCTCCATACCTCTAATTGCGCGTTCACACCGTCTTGCGTCTCGTCAATCAGTACAATATCATCTGCAAATAGCATGCACCACGGCACCTCCCTTTGGATGTGGCACGTCAGTACGTCCATCACCAGAGCAAACAAAAAAGGACTGAGTGTTGACCCCTGATGCAACTCCATCATAACCGGAAAATGGTCTGAGTCCCTACCCACTATTCTCTCCCAAACCTTCATAGTATGGCTAAGCAGCTTGATACCCCAATAGTTATTGCAATTTTGGATATCACCCTTGTTATTGTATACAGGAACCATCGTGCTCCACCTCCACTCGTCGGGTATCTTCTTCGTTCTAAAAATGACATTAAATAACCTAGTGAGACACTCCAAGCATGCCTTGCCCGTACTCTTCCAAAACTCTACCGGAATTTTATCCGGCCCGATCGCTTTGCCCCTGCTCATCTTACGCATAGCCCCCTCAACTTCATCAACTCTAATCCGCCTACAATACCCAAAGTCACAATGACTCCCGGAGAGTTCCAAATCACCCAGTACAATACTCATATCCCCTTTCTCGTTTAAGAGACTACGGAAGTAGGTCTGCCGTCTCTGACGGATAAGCCCCTCATCCAACAAAACTCTACCTTCTTCGTCCTTAATGAACTTCACTTGGTCCAAGTCCCGCGCTTTTCTTTCTCACGCCTTGGCTAAACTAAGCAACCTCTTATCCCCACCTCGGCCCTCGAGTTCCTCATAAAAACGACTAAAAGTTGCAGTCTTGGCCGCCATAACTGCTAGCTTTGCCTCTTTCTTAGCCAACTTATAATGCTCCTTATTCGCCCTTTCTCCTCCTATTATTATAATGAATTATTATGTAGGAAGCCCTAATATTTAGGACATTAAAATCAACTAAATTTCTTCCTTGTATAAATTAAAATTCTAATGTATGACAAAATATAGGAACTAGATTACGTTGAAATACTTTTAGAAACTCAAAATTTTATCAAAACCATTAGACTTGGATTCAAAGCCATAAAAGAAAAACATTGAACAACTACTACAATATTTGAAGAAAAGAGGCATGACTATTGCTTCTTCTAAAAATAAAGCTAAATGAGGAATTTGTAATTTAATTATTATCTTAATATTTAGAATTTTAAAATTAACTAAAACTTTAGTTATTAAATTTTTTCTTGTTTGAATATTAGTCCCAATAAAGCGACTAAAAATTTTACTTTGCGTAAATCCCTTTTTAATTTGAACTAGGTAACATATAACTTATATGTATATTTAATATTTAAATTGAGATAACAATTATTCATGCATCTCCTTCAAGTATGCAAAATTACAATGGCATTAAAAAAAATAGAAGCAGCAGTTAATTATTCAAAGTGCTCCCAATGTTTTCCTATCAAATAAAGATTTAAGCACTTCCCAAGTCTAAAGTTTGAGGATTCTCGAAAATAAACTTTCCTATTCTAAAATAATTATAATAATAAAAGGTTTTATTTATGTTATGACTTTTTGGAGTTGAAAACAATTTAATTCTATCTTGAAAAGGTATTTTTCTCTCTTATTAACGTTATATTTCAAGAACTAAATATAATTTATTATTTTTTTGAAAAATTTTTTTTATTAATTTTATCTTCTCGCTTAGCTTAATGATACCAATATTCATCATTTGAAGAACTTATATATTTTTAAATTTTTTATTTTATAACTTAAATATATTAGTTAATAAAATTTTAATATTTTTAAAAAATCATATGTTCATTAATATGGGTATACGCGCAAAGCATGTACCTTAAATACGAAGGCCATTATTAAAATATTATTTGCCTTTTTTATCCTTTAAAAATAGAGTTCATACTAGACAAAATAATCCTTAATTATTTTTAAATATTTAAAAATAATTATTTAATTATTTATCTAATAATTAGGATTAATGATTTAATTATTTTTCTGCTTTTTAGGACTTTTATTTCTCAGTTTCTTTTAGTTTTAGAAGTTCTTATTTTTAACTCCGTTTAAATTTAGGAGTATTAAGTTTCAAGCAGTATCAGTTTCGACCACTTATACTGCTTTTAGATTTAAGATGGGTTTTTGTTAATAATCGCTTTCAGCTCATTTAGCTTTAAGTTTGTGATGCAAAAGATAACGAGATTAAAATAATAAAGACTTCATATCAACAAAACGGTATAAAACTCAAGCTATATAATTAGTTTGATTTTGGTATGCTATTTGAATAATTTTCTAAGAAAATTTAAACAAAAAGCTTGTGAAAAATTATACTATTTGATTATTTGGATATACAGTAGTATGTCCATTATTCTTTCATCAAGTATTCCTTCTATAAAAATTATGTATACAAAATATAAATAGACATTCTAAAAAAACTATAATTAGATATAAATTATCCCAGTATTCATAATTATAATACTCATTAACTCAACATCAAATTCTAAAAATACTCTCGAAAAAACACTTAACAATTTCACATCAGCTATACATAATTTAATAATATTTATTTAATTTTTAAAATTTTATATTTACTGATATGAGTACACGCGCAAAACGCATACCCTAAGACTACTTTTCTAAAAGTAGTTGTAACTTATTTAATTAAAGTTATAAATAAATTGTATTACATGTAAATTCCTCAAAAAAGAAATACTGATGGACCGGCCGGCCATAGGGATTTAGGGCTCGGTCTGGACAACTCCTTAGAAGGCCCAAATAAAAGGTCCGGGTCTCCACCCGATCCGACCCACTTCCGGGTATTCACCTCCATAGGTCCGAATCGAGCCGCTAGACTCGAATGTTCAACTCAACTCGGCTTCATTCATTTGCAGCATTGGCGAGACTGTAACCATTGCCGATCTTTCGAGGCTGAGCTTGTGTTACAAAGAGGGCATCCTTCTCAGTTATCGTTGTTACTTATGGAATCCTCAGAAAAAACTGAAGAAGAAAAGGTGGTTAATGTGAGTCATCTCTCCTATACATGAATTGGTTTCTGATTACCTTTAACTTAGTTATTAGCTGAGTTTTTTCCTTGCTGTTCTTCTCGTGTTTGTCTTCTTTTTGTTGGAATTGTTCAATTGCTTGAATTCCCCACTCCAGATATCTACTTCTCAAGTTTCCTCAATTAGGAACTTGAAAAGACTTGGTTGTTTTAATTGGGATTTTTAAATGATCTGTTTTACGTTCTAATCTTTATTTCATTGAAGAATTTTCCTATTCCCAGTACTGTGGTCCAGCTAACTACTTTATGAATGTCTTCCTTGTTATTCCTATCCACTGCCAATAGTGTTTCGTTGATTATTCTTTTTAAATTAATCTGAAGGGTTTATTTCCTTATAACTTTGCGTATGTGCAAAGTATAGCTGGTTCCTAAATCCGGATTAAGTAGAAGCATTAGTGTAGGTTGGGGCCAGGGTACAAATAGACTTATATGAAATATTTACTTATAAGTCTTTATTCCTTTCTATTTTACTGTATTTGACTTATCTCAGAATTTTGCTTAGCAAGCTAATCTGTTTGGTTTTTGTTTTCAGAGGCCTCAGAAAATCGCAGGAACTGTAAATTGGGGCGCTGCTACTGTAATTGGGGTATTTGCTGGCTTGTTGTATGGAGGTAGCAAGGAGGCTGCTGCTTCTGTTGTTAGTATCTCTTCACACTGTAACTATTATATTGCACTTACTACTGATTTCCCATAGTCGCATTTTGACATAGGAAGATAAATTGGAGAGAGGAAATGCTAATTGTGAAACTTTGGACAGTAGTAAAATGTTACGTTTGTCTAAATAGTAAATGGGATTTCAAACTACTCGTTAAGAAGGTCAGATAAAATTTTGAGATTAGAAAAAAAAAAAAAAAAGAGAACTTTTTGCTTTCTTAAATCAGCCAGAACTTTATGGCCTTGTTAACCTTTTATACTTATTATCTTCTACAATAGAGCCTGTATAATGTAGATGCCCCTTTGAAGAAAATTTGATTTCCTGCTGCTTTTGTTCCAGAGGTCTGGAGGAAAGCTGCAACTAATAAATAGGATTTCCCTAGTCCTCCCTTCCCAAAAAGAAGAACGTGATCTTTTCTTTCTGCATGGGTGGTTCCTCTAGTGTTCATGGGTCTTTCTTCTCTTTTAACAGAGCAAGGATGCGGAGGTGATGTTAAAGCTTGGGAGCACACCAGATAAGCGTGAACAATATCGGCTCATGAGAGATGCTATGGAAAAAAGATTTATACGAGTCACTCGTGGCTCAATAGTTGGCGGAATACGGCTTGGAATGTTTACTGCAGCTTTCTATGGATTACAGAATCTGCTTGCTGAAAAGCGTGGGGTGCATGATGTTTATAATGTTGTTGGAGCTGGTTCTGCTACAGCTGCAACATTTGGTCTAATTAGTAAGTGGCAAATTTTGGGCATCAAACCTTTTTTAGATTATCTCCTCCCCCACTCACTCTTTATTTTTATGGTTCCAGTGCCAGGATCACTCCATTGGCGTGCGAGAAATGTGATGTTAGGTTCTGCTTTGGGTGCTGCAGTTTGCTTCCCTCTTGGTAATAGAATGACCTGCTTATTAATTTCGATCTATTCAATTGCTCTTATTTGCTCAAAATTCTTAACCTGATAGTATTGATGATGCTACTAAAACTTAAAAACTTTGTAACTTCAGTTAATTATAGATGATTGAACTTATCATCTCTGCTTAGGCAGCCTGGTTTCGTTTTGAGGATTTCATACATCTTATGTACTCCTTAAGCATGAAGAATCATGTGAAGTAGGGACCAGCTTTTGGGTGGGCTATGCTGTTCCTATGTTAAATGAGAACTTGCAGATTTACTAAAACAAACTTGTTCTATCAGGGTGGCTTCATTTGAAGCTTGTAGAGAAAGCCAATGAAGGGTCTGGGACAACAGATGGCAATGAAGTGAAGGGTGGTGTAGGTGCTGCAATTGAGCGACTTGAAGAGCACTTGAACAAATAGGTTTGGTGATCTTAAATCCACAAGCACCGAAATTCTGATCTTATGTTGGCCCGTAAGATGGTGATATTAGCAAAAGGGGCTAAAATGGACGCAATATGGAAATAAAAGAGGTTTAGAGCAGACACCTGTATTGTTTGTTCCCTCTTAATCCACTTTCTTCCTGTCAGGAGCTTTAAAAGCTTGCTATCTTGGCCTTTATTTTTTCTGTTGGAGTGGAATCTTTTTTGTATTGCATTATAGGATTGTTTTGATTGTTGCACTCTTCATAAATACATGAAAAGAGTGTGGGTCGACTTTTTGATGTTACAAAAATAACCAAAAGCATGGAGAGGATGTTGTGCTTTGTCAGGATCATCTCTGATCTCCCCCTTAACTTGCCGATATTATGACAGAAATAGTTAATTAATTGAGTAATTTTTTTGTTGAGGATTAAGGTATGTTAAGTTTTGTTTTGGTCATTATTGTTGTAGCTCCAGTCGGAAGGACTTTTGTGTTTTCGTGTGTATGTAATAGAATCCTAGTAAGACAAGCAAATGACTCAGTAACTGTATATTACAAATTGTAACAGGTAGTCGCTAGTCTCTTAGTCTTAGTAGTAATACTAGTATTATTTTTGTATTTCTCTTATTCCTGGTCGTTAGTAGTACATGTTGTGCCATTTGCTCCTATTGCAGTGTTGTTGTTACTGTTTGTTACTCTATTTTCGTTGTTCCTTGATCTAAGGGTCTATCGGAAAAAGTCTCTACCTTCCCAAAGTAGGGTTTGGGGTAAGGTCTGCATATACATTACTCTCCTCCACTTGTAGAATTACACTTGATTTATTATTGTTGTTGTTTTAAGATACGCGTAATTTACCAATTTGGTACACAACTCAGTTTAGTTGTTTCACTATAACCAGATGTTGATTCAAATTACGAACTAACGTAACAGCCATATGGGTCTGAAAGAAACATGAGACATTTTTATCACCCAAAAATCCAACTCTTTACATTTCAAAAGCTGTTGGGCAAAAATACATTACATAATTATGAAGTTCTCTTTCCTGCGAGGTAACTCGTTCTTCTCAACAAAAGCTTGGGCCAGTAATGACATTTCTTCCTATCATCTGTATGTCAAATTACCATAAAAATGATGCCACCTACTTTTCCTAAGGACACCAGTTCGTGTTCACAATGGACACTAAAGTGTTTTCTATGGGGATGTAGCTCCGCGCGGGTGAGCAAGGACGCAGAAGCCCTCCCGTGCCAAAATTGTTATCTCAATTGCTTGAGTGAGGGGCAGCACCATTCAGATTCAGTCCTGGTACACATTATGACTTCTCATTCCCTGCAGAATAATGGCATACCGGAATTCAGTTATTATGTTCATTAAGGAAAGAACTAACAAAGAGAATAAAAGAAATTAGTAATACAACTTACTCTCAACATCATCAGACAATGTATTTTGGGGTGCCGCCTTGACCGTCCTTTTTGATGATTCAGCTGTACAAAAATTACCCAACTTAACAATAGCAAGAGCAAAAATATACAGTGCTTACTAAAGCTACTAAATAAGTTCTGATAATTTAGACGCTATAAACTAAAACCTAAACCCCAAGCTACAGATATACTTGAGCATGGACGTGAATTTTTCTTTCGAGCATCAAAGCTCACAAGGCCCCCAAGGGTATTGAATGGGAGGTAGTGGGTATTTGGTGAATTGGTTGAACCGCGCACCAGCTCGCTCAGATACCACCATTATTAGGGGGGGTTTCAGGTGCTGCAACCAGCAAACACAATCCCTCCCCCTGCCTGGCCATCCCCACCCCATGTTGGGAAAATTAACCCCCACAGAAATAATATTCACGGTATACGACTATAATAAATGCGGATTACTAAAATAGTGTAACCAACAGTAATAATAAGAGAAACAAGGACATCGAGATTTTTACGTGGAAAACACTTCTGAATAAGGGAAAAACCACGGCCCGAGAGGAGCAACTTATTTCACTATAGCGAGGATTTTACAATTTGTGGTACCGAATAAAATACTCCAAGACCACTAAACACTCAAATGAAATAATCCTCTTTTGATTTTTCCATCTCACTACAACACCGCTCAAACTCTTTATATTTTTCCTCACAGAGTATTTTGCTTCTTACTCAGTAAATCACTCTCTTTCTCTTTGTTTTGGTGTAATTACAAATGAAGGTAGAGGCACCTATTTATAGTTGCCCAAATTGAACTTCTAAATTGGTTGGCTTGACAAAACCAAAAGGAAGCTTCATCTTCTTTCACATGGGCCATGGGATAGACCCAATAAATCTCCCCCTCCAGTCCCATGCACCTGAAAGAGGTAACACCGGAGTTTCTAGTTTGAGTGCATGCCGACAAGTTCTTTGCATAGCTCGAACTTGTCTCTTGGTACCACCTTGGTCAGCATATCCGAAGGATTCTCACTTGTATCGATCTTCTTGACCTGCATAGATTCATCCTCTATCCTTTCTCGAATCCAGTGATATCTCACGTCGATATGCTACGTCCTTGCATGATACATGGTGTTTTTGCTCATGTCTATTGCACTTTGACTGTCACAATAGACGACATACTCCTTTTGATGTAATCCAAACTCTCGAAGGAACCGTTTCAGCCAAACCATCTCCTTGCCAGCTTCAGTAGCGGCAATATACTCTGCTTCAGTTGTAGAGAGTGCAACGCACTTCTGCAACTTCGACTGCCATGATATAGCTCCCCTTGAAAAAGTGAACAGGTATCCTGTAATAAATTTACGATTATCAAGATCACCTGCCATATCAGCATCCGTGTAACCCTCAAAACTGGATCTGATCTCCAAAAACACAAGCATTCATCTAAGGTTCCTTTTAGATACCTAAGTATCCACTTCACAGCTTCCCAATGTTCTTTTCCGGGATTATCAAGAAACCTACTAACAGTACCGACAGCATGAGCAATATCAGGTCTGGTACATACCATTGCATACATCAGGCTCCCGACGGCAGAGGAATATGGAACTTTAGCCATACTTTCTTTATCTTCCTTTGTTGTAGGACACATTGTCTTGTTCAACTTTATATGACCAGTAAGAGGCGTGCTAACTGGTTTAGCACTCATCATGTTGAAGCTTTTAAGTATACGTTCAATACACTTATGTTGTGACAGCAACAACTTACTATTTGTCCTATCTCGGACAATCTCTATTCCTAGAATTTGTCGTGCTGGACCCAAGTCTTTCATGTCAAATGACTTGGACAAATCTTCCTTCAACTTGGCAATCAACTTCTTGTCTTGTCCTACAATCAACATGTCATCCACATATAACAACAAGATGATAAAGTTATTGTTAGAGAATTTCTTATAGTATACACATGGATCTGAAAAAGTCTTTGTGTACGTTTGACTTCTCATGAATGAGTCAAACTTCTTGTACCACTGCCTAGGCGCTTGTTTCAGCCCATAAAGACTCTTTTTCAACTTGCATACCATGTGTTTCTTCGCCTTTACTTCAAAACCTTCTGGCTGCTCCATATAGATCTCTTCTTCCAAATCTCCATGCAGAAACGCAGTTTTTACGTCCAACTGCTCCACTTCAAGATCTAGGCTAGCTGCCAAGCTCAAGATTGTTCGAATAGAAGTCATTTTGACAACAGGTGAGAAAATTTCATAAAAATCAATACCTTTCTTCTGTTCGAAACCTTTTACCACCAATCGAGCTTTATGTCTAACTAGCTTGCCGTTTTCATTTTTCTTAAGCTTAAAGACCCACTTGCACTTGAGCGGTCTTTTGCCTTTTGGAAGTTCAACCAGTTCGTACGTATGATTCTTCTGTAGAGAATTCATCTCTTCTTGCATGGCTTCCATCCACTGGATTTGTTTCGGATAAGATAGCACCTCCTTGAAATTCTCTGGCTCCCCCTCATCAGTGACGAGGATATACTCAGGATATACTCTGAAGAAGGATACCTTGTGGACTCTACCTTCTCTCTTTCAGATCTTCTCAAAGGTTGTCCTTCTTCTTCTTCTTGTTGCTCTCCTTCTTCCTCTTGTGGACTAGGGTTCTCCCCATGCTCAGCAACCTCTTCATCTACGCCTTCTGTGTGCCATTCTTCACCTGTGGAAGGATTACGTACAGGTGCAGTAGGAGTAGTAACAAAGTTAGTAACTGTATCATTATCATTTTTGGTATTTGTTGATTGATCGCTATCAATCCCGACCACATCTTCTCTGAAGATCACATCTCTGCTTCTGATGATCTTTTTCCTTTCTGGGTCCCACAATCTGTAGCCGAACTCTTCATCTCTATAACCGATGAAGATACATGATATAGCTTTGTCATCCGGCTTCGTTCTCTGCTCCTTCGACACATGTGCAAAAGCTTTACATCCAAACACTTTCAGATGGGAGTAGGACACCTCTTTGTTGGTCCAGACTTTCTCTGGAATGTCAAACTCCAATGGAACTGATGGACTTCTATTAATCAAGTAACAGGTTGTGCGAGCTGCTTCACCCCAAAATAACTTAGGTAATTTTGCCATTTTGAGCATACTTCTCACTTTTTCGACAATGGTGCGATTCATCCTTTCTTTCAGCTACACCATTGTGTTGTGGGGTTCCAGGAACTGTCTTCTCATGTCAGATTCCATGGCTCGAGCAGTAGTATTCAAACTCCTTTGAAGAATACTCTCCTCCATTGTCTGTCCTGAGACGCTTTAATTTTTGACATGTCTCCCTTTCCACCAGAGCATGGAATTTCTGAAATACTTGAAATACCTGGTCTTTGGTTCTCAAGAAATAAACCCACAATTTTCGTGAAGCATCATCAATAAATGTAAGAAAATATTTGTTACCTCCCATTGATTCTACATCCATTGGACCACAAACATCAGAATATACTAAATCAAGTATATTCGATTTTTTCTTCCATGAGTTGCTTGAAACGATACCCTGTGTTGTTTTCCAAATAAACAATAATCACAAGAATTCACACTTGTACCTTTTGCAAATGAGATGAGTGACTTTTTGGATAGGATCTGCAGTCCCTTCTCACTCATATGGCCCAATCTCCGGTGCCATAAATCTGCAGGCGTATCATCTACAACCGCATGTAACCCATCTTCACATATCTCAACGGTTGTATTGTACAATGTGTAGGGAGAAACTCCTTTAGCAATCACCAATGATCCCTTGGTGAGTCTTCACTTCCTATTGGCGAAGTGATTCCCGTACCCGTCTCGATCTAGAACGATCCCTGAAATCAAATTCATTCACAAATCTGGTACGTGTCGCACATCTTTTAAAACTAATGTGCATCCGACATTTGTCTTGATACAAATGTCGCCAATCCCCACAATCTTTGAGCGACTGATATTTCCCATCTTGACCATTCCAAAGTCTCCTGCTTTGTACCTACAGAAGAATTCTCTTACCGGTGTGGCATGGTAGGATGTTGTATCAACCACCCATTCTGACTCTTGGCTTGCTAAGTGCATGCATTCCTCCTCCTTGTGAGCGAAGAGAACCACCGAATCATCGTTGTGCACTGCAGCGGTTATGTTGTCATCATTCTTCTGGCCATTGCTCTCGCCTCGACCTTTCTTTGGGCAATCTCTTTTGAAGTGACCGGGTTGACCGCAACTGTAGCAATTTCTACCCTTTGACCGGTTCCTGGACTTTCCACGAGCTTTGAATTTATCACGGCTACTCGATGCTCTATAAAAACTTCCTCCTCTGTTTTCCATGATAAGAGCATAACTCTGATTTTCGGGCTTCTTCCTCATCTTATCATTGAGTAGGATGGCTGATGTGACCTCCTTTAAATCGATGGTATGTCTACCATGCAGGATGGTTGTTGCCAAATTATCATAGAAAGATGGCAACGAGTTTAGAAGCATGATAACCTTATCTACTTCAGTGATTGTTTCTCCAAGGTTTGCCAGCTGTGTGATTAATCCATTGAACATATTTAAATGGGACAAGAAATTTGTACCTTCACTCATATGGATGGCATAAAGTTGTTTTCTCAAAAACAACTTGTTTGTTAAGGATTTGGACATGTATAGATTTTCTAGTCTTTTCCAAATACCACATGCACTATTTTCATCTCCGACATTATTGAGCACTTCATCAGACAAGTGTAGTCTGATTGCACTAGCCGCCTTCTTAACCATGTCTGCCTATTCCTCGTCTTTCATGGTTTCCGGCTTTGCCTCTTTTCCATTTAGTGCAATGTCTAGCCCTTGTTGGATGAGCAGGTTTCATCCTTCTTTGCCATATGGAGAAACCGTCATTACCGTTGAATCTTGTTACTTCATACTTTACTCCTGACATTTTTTTTGTCACAGAGTAAAATTGACAGTAAATAATATTTCTGTGAATGAGCAGAACCTGTGCTCTGATACTAGTTGTTGGGAAAATTAACCCCCACAGAAATAATATTCACGGTATACGACTATAATAAATGCGGATTACTAAAATATTGTAACCAACGGTAATAATAAGAGAAACAAGGACACCGAGATTTTTACGTGGAAAACCCTTCTGAATAAGAGAAAAATCACAACCCGAGAGGAGCAATTGATTTCACTATAGCGAGGATTTTACAATTTGTGGTACCGAATAAAATACTCCAAAACCACTAAACACTCAAAAGAAATAACCCTCTTTTGATTTTTTCACCTCACTACAATACCGCTTAAACTCTCTATATTTTTCCTCACAGAGTATTTTGCTTCTTACTCTGTAAATCACTCTCTTTCTCTTTATTTTGGTGTGATTACAAATGAAGGTAGAGGCACCTATTTATAGTTGAAGAATGTCCATATTGATGTATGCAATGACATCAATATTCACTTCAAAAGCTAGTTGCCCAAATTGAACTTCTAAATTGGTTGGCTTGACAAAACCAAAAGGAAGCTTCATCTTCTTTCACATGGGCCATGGGATGGACACAATACCCCATGCCCCACCCCAAAGAAAAAAAGGAGAATAGGATAACATTGTATTTTCTTTTGATAAATAGAGAAGAAGGATAAGAATTGGGAGATATATATTCAGTTACACAAGCCCATCAATAATATTATTTACTTATAAACCAATAGGAAGTGTACCCAGGCATAATTGAACTTTGCACACCTTCGGCCTTCATCTGCCCATGAAAGTTTTACTTCTTCCAAACTTAGAAATCAATATAGACAATACTATTACGTGCTATCTTAATCTTGATAATCAATTTTTAAGAACTGTATCACCTGTCAAACTTCATCTAAATACCTCCATCTATCTATAATACAATTGCCTTACGTCTCAAAATGTGGACTATCACCTAAGGCAGTGAGTTGGAAGCGCAAAGCACAGGTTGGGAAAGTTGGTAAAGAACCCAAAATCTTCATTGATTATACTTTATTTCTATCTAGTAGTTAAAATCTTGTACTAAGTTTGTTAATTAAATTTTGTACAGACAACCATGGAAAATGTCGTCGGGGCATATCATTGCTAAAGGACTTACCTTTAAATTTCCTTTTCTTCTTTGCTCTCCTCCTTTTTCTCTCTGCTTGTGTCAACTCTGTTTCTTCTTTAACATCTCCTTTGCCAGAAAATACTTCCTCGGGAGCCAGCATAGCTGCATCAGAGACTGCCACAGGTGCAATCTACCATAGAACAATAATATGAGAAAATATACTTGAACAATGATGAATTTATGCAAGTATGATAAGTTAACTCGAAAATAAGACTTGTGCACGTCAGCTCACCTCTTCCATTGCAAGTGCTGGGACATTTGCTTGTACAGACATATCTTCTATGACCTAACCAATTTGAGTCATGGAGAAGCAACATGAGACAAACCGCGTACAGATTGGAAAAATCTAGCTGAATATACATTGTTATAGTCATACCGGTTTTGGAGTGAAGTGGAAATGAGACAAAGCATCCAACTTCAAGCACAGTTTCTTAAACAGCAAAGTGGCCTGTTTTAACATTCAAAATAAAGCATACTCAAAAAAGGTGCAATCGAGCATAGCAATTGAACCCCGATACATCTTTCCATTCCCTCCTCCACACGATACCCCTCAAAAGCTGTAAGAGAATTTTGCCCTTCCTTTGCATGCTGTAATTTGTTAAAAGTCTCAAAACCTATTAACAGCATTATCACTCTCTTATTCGTGCACAAAGAACCTAAGTTTACCCGACCATTGCATTTCATTAGATTGATCATCATATTCAAAGCAGCAACAATATATTTCAGCTGAGCTTATCACTTATCACTTTATAAAATAATGCATCAAGTAGTCAGACATGGTGCATAAGGTAGGCCTGTAAGATGAGGTTAGGTAATGATGACAAAGTAAAGAAGAAGAAGAACCTCCCCTCCTGTTATAAAGAAGAGAGCTGGTTTATAGGTGAACGATCAAACACACCTCTTTCTTCTGCTCATCTGAGAAGGATAATGCTGTTGATACAAGACCAGTTTTCTGGACATATTCCTCCTGCAAAAGTATGTATGAAACAAAGTGGCAAAATAAGATAACAGAAATTTTCCTTTGGGAAGTTCACAAATAAAGCATAAAGAGTACACATATCCACAGCAGCAGTTGCTGCCAATAAGTATCAATCTCCTCGAGTAGCATGTATCGGAGAGCACTAACCTCATAAATTTCGGCAAGGCCCTTTTTGCTTTTATTGTCATCCTGCATGTTCATAAATAAAAAAGAAACATCAAATCATAGCATCATTAGTTACAGCTATCCACTTGAAATTAGTATAGAATCCACTTGAATGGACACACATGTACAAATATACAAACAGTAATTACCAATTCTTTTGTTTCTCTCGGTGCTCTGGATGGCAAGCTAGGAGGCTTCTGAACGTCATCAAACCGACCCTAGACATCACAAGCTGGGGTCAGTTGTTGTTTACTTTATTTCATGCACACTCAAACGTTGCGTAGGGAAGAGAGGAAAAGGCAGGCATAAAACAATAGCAGAAGAGCAAAGCACATCGTTATGATTATTACGTCTGTAAGGAGTTTCTATAATTTAACTTTTACAAACAAAAAAGAAAAAGAATAAAAAGGTGCAACCTGTTCTCCTAAACTTCTATTTAACAGGTCAGTTTCCCACGAACAAATAAATTTGCTGCTTGCATTCTCAACACTCAAACTTAGTAAAACGTAGCAAATGCACCCTTTCAGAGTAAAATTTCTAAACTTCTTAGCCCTTACATTTAATTTGCTTAACATCTATGTTCAGATTCAGGGTAAATTAATTCCAAAGACTTATTTTTTCTTTTTCTCCATGTCCTTTATTTTCTTCTCTTTTTCTTCTTTCTTTCTTCCTTTTCCAATTTTAAATGCTCTTTTTATTCTACGCCACGTCCCAGTCAGAGCCCAGTTCACAGATGTGAGAGTGAATTTTGAAGGGAGGGGCGACTATAAGGTGAGAAAAGAGTGGGAAATTGTCGGAAATAACAAAACAGCTAATTTGCTAGTTTGTCCTCAACTTTAGCAAATATGCTGATAACAATTAATGAAAAAGAACATTGCTACTCTTTCAAAAATTTAATATGAAAATTGAGAAGAAAAAATTAAATTTCAATATAGGAACCTCAGCTATATTACTAGAATTGACATATCCTCCCATGTCAAAATGTTCCAAGCTCGCCCATGTCCTTTGACCGAGTTACCACTAAATTACACAATTTTCCTCTGGTACATACTAGATGAAGCTTTTACTGCAGTCAAATTATGCAAAATTTTCTTTTTCTAGGAGAAAATCGGAGATGGAAAAAATTAAATAAAACTTCCTTAGAGTCAACAAACTAGAAATGGATTCATGAAGTAAATGTCAAGATGTGAAAGAAAATGGAATATCTATACTCGTTTGACTTCTACTTTTCTTTTATTGGGATAAATTTATTGCTAACAATATCTTTTTATTAGTGATCTCTTTTATTCTTTAATGAAAAGATACTGTCAACAATAATTTCACCTCAGCGGTCCAAAGAAAAAAGCGACTTAGATATTTAGCAGTGTAGAGATAAAAGAAAAATATTCACCTCTACAATACGTTTCTGAATTAGTTCTTCAAGTGATGCAGTAACCTCTTCAGTAATTACAGGGGCAGGTCTCACATTGTGCTCGAAATCCAGATCAACTTCCAATGCACTATTCTTTGGCCTTCTTGCAGCAGTTACCTGCCAATAGAGATTGTTCAAACATACAGGACTGAAGATGCCATATGCGGTATATATAGCTAATACATGTTAAACGAAACAGTGATTAAGGGAATTAGAAAGGAAGAGGGAACAATTAGAAAGGAAAAAATTTATGAAGATCATAATGTATTGTCCACAATGAGAGAAAAAAATATTGTGAAATTAACACGAGTACGGGTATAATCGAGTTTCAGTTTCATCTTGGGTCTGAGCTTGTGTATTAGTAAATGGGTTTTTCTTCCAAGAACATTTTTTTTAAAAAAGATAAGGAATTGTGAAAGAGAGATCTTACTTCTCCTTGCATAGTCCAGGCCTTCTCTTCCAAGTTTGCTTTCTCCATTTCCTCAATTGTAGATCGGAGTTTTACAAGCTCCTTTTCATGGGTAGAAAGGCTTTTCTTCTTCTATAACAGAAGAAGAATATATGTTAGACGGAGGAAACGTGTTAGATATTGAAATGACTTGAATCTTATAGATCACTTACTCAGAGTCTCAGACATCTTCATAAACTTTACAACTGAAAGGACAAAGAGTACACTACCTGATTGTCATCATTATCATCACTCATGTCATCATCCATTCCCAGGCCATCTGATAGATCAGATGATTTGACATTTTTCTTCCGTCCAATACCCTTGTTTGAACCAAAGAAGTCCTCATATCTGTGTATCATCGAGAAAAAAATGAGCAAATTGGAAGTGTGTCAATGTTGAGGTAACAAAGTTTAAAACCTCACTGAATTGTATAATGTGATTGACATTCCGAATAGAGGGATGAAAAATAGTAAAAGAGAAATGTCACAGGACAAGTGCATGTGTGGCTTACTATTAAGCTAAGAACAGCAAATATGGAATGTGATTCTGCAAGGTTTGAGCCCATGTTGGAGAATTAGTACTTGGAGATACTTAACTAATATTTTGAGACTTAGTTAAATAGTTGTACCATCAATAACGGCTGTTTAGCACGGGCAGTGAAATATAGAGGGAGAAAGAAAGCACAGGCTCCTCTACTATTTTATCAAACCGGAGAGCATCATCATCCAAAATCACTAATCTAAGACTGGTTAACTGTCACAATGACAAAGCATATAGATAACAGTCGCCCAGGGAGGCAAAATGAGCACCCTACATCCACAAGGCAAATATTGAAGGACTACATAAAGACTTTCAGTAAAGCTTTATAAGGGAGCTTAATCACATAGTCTTATCCAGTCCGCCTCAGTTAAGGCAATATGGAAAATATCACTCAATCACCCTTCACACCCAACTCAACTCTGCCTAATCGACATCAAATATACTTCCTAATGGACAATAAGCACCTCAAGTCTTGGAATAACTAGAAGAGTTTAAGTGTCTTTTACTCTAATTGAGTACGACGTATTGCTTTGCTATCTCCTTGAAATCATTGAGCTAAGGCCAAACTACAAAGAGCCAATTCGGCAAATTCTTCTCGAGCTTTAAACTTCATGCTTTATTTATCATAGGACACTAAAAAGATAAATAAGAACACAAAGAAGGAGCACCTAGCACTTTCGGTTCCTCCATTTTCATCATCTTCATCATCGTCGAGGCCCATAAATCCAAGCTGCAGAAACAAGATAATGTTAAAAATAAATGCTTTACCCAAGAAGCACAAATCTCCACTCACCAATCTGCTTGAAATCATGATAATTTAAGCATAATATCTGAACCACCAAATGGTTAAACATAATCAACCTCTATTTTCAGAAATCAGCAAATTCTCACCTCGTCCTCGTCCTCGTCCTCGTCAGCTTCTTCATCCTCCTCCTCTTCGTCCTTGCTCCTTGTCCTCTTAGTCTTCTTCTTCAAGCCATATTCCCTTGCCTCATCAGCCTCCATATACTCTTCCAACTGGTTTACCTTGAAAAACTTATCTTCCAGTCCCCCTTTTACCCCTCCATTCTCCTCCTCCCCGTCTTCGCTCTTCTCACCATCATCACCCTCCTCATCATCATCATCCTCCTCTTCTTCTTCATCGTCATCATCCACATCATCCTCGTCATCAAAATCATCCATAGCTACATCCTTAAAGTCCTCACTTTCTCCTTCTTCTACTGCCAATTCCTCTTTGTCCCTCTTCTTTTCTTCAACTAAATTGAAAAGCTTTGAAATTTCCTCAGGATTCTTCTCAAATTGTCTGATTTGGCGACGGAGAGAGGAAAGTAAGGGCTCAGATTGGAAGTCAATTTGCTGCCATATTTGCTCAGCATCAAAACCATCCGTCAAGAGTTGAGCGAAAGGTGACTTCGGGGTGTAGGGTTTGAGAGAAGAGTATAGGTACTTGGAGGCTAATCGAGCTGCTTCAGAAAGGTCCGGTGATGCTGAGAGATAGAGAGGTGCGTCAGTGGATTTGAGCCGCCGGAGAGCCTTAACGCCGTCAGCACTTTGGCTGTCGTCCGCCGTGGTTGCCATGGCGGAGAGAGACGGTATTCTTCTGAGGTTTGTAGGGTTTAAGAAAGACTTAAGGTTTTACTTTATTTCAAAAAAATTATTTTTATTTCTATATATGGTCCGTAACCCGACCCGGATGAGGGCTTTTGCCCTTTAATTTGTGAGTGTTAATGGGGGTTAAAAGATGATGAACCTCCGTCTTATTCTTTCATACTAAAATGTCCTCTCTTGAGCAATTTTCCTTTTCTCAGTAAAAATCAAGATAATCCATTCAAATGTAGATTAAACAAACATAAACTGACAATAAATTGGTAAATTACAAGATTGTTGTCATATCCGTAAAGTGGTATTGTGACTATCGTCAATTAATTATCTTTTCTTTCCTAGTTCTCTGCATTTTAACCTTTTCAACTAGTTCAGGGTTGTTTTCTTGCAGTGCATATTAATGCAAATGAATTACATGATAAAAGTCGAAAGATAGAGAGTTAACCCAAACAGAGCCGGAGTTCTATGAACAAGAGAGATCCCTAAATATCCATTTGAGAGTCAATATTTGAAGTTTATGGGTTCTGAACCTGTCACTGAAATCATAACGCATTTAGTCACTGGGTTCGCAGGTAAATATTTATATATGTTTAGTAATTTTCTAATACAAAGCAGGGTCTAAGCAAAAATTATTGGGTTCGTCCGAACCCGTTAATCATACACTACCTCCGCCCCTGAACCCAAATACCTTTGTTTTACCAATTTAATAAAGCTAAACTTTTGGCGGATAAAATCTGGGGTAACACATATTTCTATGTTCGTAAGAAAAATTCACATATTCTTCTTTTCTTCATAACTAGTAGTCGTACCCGTGTGATGCGGTCAATATTAAAAAATATTAATTAGATTAAAGTGTGATCGGGCTTATTTGAACAAATTAGATCATATTGCGTTAATAAATTTCAATTGTCATCTTATTTGTCAATTTGATATACCCAATAATAAAATAACTATTAAATTAAAGGGACTTATATAGTCATTGAATAACTTTATTGTTCTATACTTTTCTTTATTCTATTATCCAATATTTAGTATTTTTACATTGTTAATAGAAATTTTTATTAGCATATTACTTTGTTTAATATTTTTGTCTGATCGCTCTCTTTTATAATATAAGAGAAGATATATATATTTTATTAATCTTGAAATATTTTTTATTTTAAATTTTATTCTGTTGTTGTCAATAATATTATCTGAATTTTAATGAATAAAATCTCTATTAAATTAAAGGGACTTATATGGTCTTCGAATAACTTTTTTGTTATATATTTTTTTTATTATATTATCCAATATTTAATATAATTGAATTGTTAATAGAAATTTTTATTAGCATATTACTTTATTTAATATTTTTGTCTACTACTTTCTATTTGTAATATAATAAAATGCATATATTTTATTACTCTTGAAATAATTCTTTATTTTAGCTTTTATCCTATTGTTCTCAATAATATTGTTTGAATTTTAATGAATAAAATCTCTATTAAATGAAAGAGAGTTGTATAGTCATTGAATAACTTTGCTGTTCTGTATCNTATATATATACACTCTTGAAATATTTTTTTTATTTGAAATTTATCCTATTTTTCTCAATAATATTATCTTAAATTTAATGAATAAAATCTCTATTAAATTAATGAGACTTATATAGGCATGGAATAACTTTTTTGTTATATATTTTTATTTATTATATTATCCAATATTTAATATTATTGCATTGTTAATATAAACTTTTATTAGCATATTACTTTATTTTCTAGGCTGCCACTTGGTTTAGATTTTATTCTATTGTTCTCAATAATATTATCTGAATTTTAATGAATAAAATATCTATTAAATTAAAGATAGTTGTATAGTCATTGAATAACTTTTTTATTCTATATTTTTCTTTATTATATTATCTAATTTTTAATATTATTGCATTGTTAATAAAAACTTTTATTAGCATATTACTTTATTTTCTAGGCTGCCACTTGGTTTAGATTTTATCCTATTGCTCTCAATAATATTATCTGAATTTAAATGAATAAAATCTCTATTAAATTAAAGAGAGTTGTATAATCATTGAATAACTTTTTTGTTCTGTATTTTTCTTTATTTATTATCTAATATTTAGTACTATTGCATTGTTAATAGAAACTTTTATTAGAATATTAATTTGTTTAATATTTTTGTCTGCTGCTTTCTTTTTATAATATAATATAAGATATATATTTTATTACTCTTGAAATATTTTTTTATTTTAAATTTTATCTTGTTGTCCTCAATAATATTATCTGAAATTTAATGAATAAAATCTCTATTAAATTAATGAGACTTATCTTGTTGTTATGTATTTTTCTTATTATATTATCCAATATTTAGTATTATTTCATTGTTAATAGAAACTTTTATTAGCATATTACTTTATTTAAATTTTTGTATGCTACTTTCTTTTTATAATATAATAGAAGATATATATATTTTTTTATATTTTATTCTATTATTCTCAATAATATCTTCTGAATAAATAAACTTTTTATTTTTAAAAAGTAAAACAAAAATTATTTAAAAAACAAAGAAATTTTAAATTGGCAGTTTTTTATAATTTGTAATTTTAGTTTTTATTTAAAATAATTTTAAAAGTTCAATTTAAAACTACTCTCCCATTTGAATGGACAATTTTTTTATTTTTTTATTATAAAATATTTTATTTTATTATTTTATAGATATTTAAATTCAAAAACAATAACTAATTATTAACTATTTATGCCGTATGGTTTTTTTCTAGGTTGTCACTTGGTTGAACGAGATGACTTTTTTCTCTCCTTTTAATAATATATAAATTTTTATTTAAAATAATTTTAAAAGTCCAATTTAAAACTACACTCCAATTTGAATGGATAATTTTTTTAATTTCTTTGTTTATTATAAAATATTTTATTTTATTATTTTATAGATATTTAAATTCAAAAATAACAACTAATTATTAACTAGTTATGTCTATGACTTTTTTCTAGGTTGCCACTTGGTTGAACGAGATCTTTTTTCTCTCCTATAAATTTTTAGGACGGAAAAAGGATAAAAAATGCCCTTGAATTGTGCAAAATGATCAAATTTGCGTAAAGTAAATAGTTGGCGTAGAATCTATCATTGCCCTAACAAAAATCTACTTGATCTGTCGTCATTAACTAACATATGAACCTTTTATACTAGAAAAAATTGTCAAATTTGTTACTATTTCACAATGCAAAAGGTGTAGACTAAAATTACCCTTAATTTTTTGAAGAGTCATTGTTTCGACGGTGACACCACTCTCTTCTTCAACAACCAAGGCTCAAATTAACCATCCCCAAGCCTCAAATTGCCCGAATGAAACTTAAACAATGATCAATTGCATCACCAAGTGAAATTCCGACCCTATCGGAAGTGAACTCCACTGACTTCTTAAATCATCAATAGTGATGTCAAAGATCTACATCGATCTCTTAAGCTAACACATACTCATGTACCCATAATCGATCAATTCCTAAATTATTTTGCAGTAATACTGTGGCATCAAAATAGGGTTATAGTGGTAGAGGGTGGTCTTCTGGCGAAAGTAAAATGCTCGATGAAGAAAGTGGTGAAGGTGAATATGTGAGACAGTGAGAGATATCGTCTGAGTGAGGTAATTTTTGTATGGAATTTATGTATGCTCTTTTGGTGAATGTCCAGGAAGTGAGAAGTGGTGGTGGAATAGTGTCTTCAAATGTTCACTTTTAGAGTAGAGAGAATCAATTATTAAAGAATCAAATTTGAACTCTATTGCAAAGTACAGGCATATTCGGACCATTTCGCATTCTTTGAAGTTAAATTTGATACTTTTTGTCGCGACTTAATTTCTCATATAGGTCGTGATACTTTTGAGATAATTGATTTTTATTTATTAAGTAAGTAAAAGGCGAAAGATTTAATAAAATGAAGCAGCAACAAATATAAGAACAAGTGTAGTGAATTAAATACTCAAAAGCAATCGAATGTCTACTAGCATATTTTTCAAGACCTAGTGTCACAAGTGTATGAGCTACAGGTAGAATATACAAAAATACTAAAAGCTACCGGTAGAATATACAAAAATACTAAACTACTGTCTGAAATAGAGTAGACAGAAGGTAAAGCAAAAGAGAGACGTCGGGTGCTACCGAACGGACTCAAAAGAGCAGCTCACCACTAGGCCTCGGGGTATCGGGGGTACGCGCCGGTAAGACTGCCAGATGCATCTGCCTCAGATCCTACAGGATTAGTGCAAAAGTGTAGCGTGAGTACATAAACAACATGTACCAGTAAGTATTCAGTCTAACCTCGAAAAAGTAGTGACGAGGGTCGACATCGACACTTATAGGGGCTAACAATAAAATATATGAATGCTAAATAGACACAGAGTATGTGAACAATGATATTAACACAATAACAACAATAATCAAATAATTCTTCAACAAATAGTAAATTCCAGGAGTCTTCTATTAGCACATACTAATTCCAATTAAATTTCGAACAAATAAATAAAATTATAATCTCTCACTTCATGAAAAGTAATATCAAGTATGTTCAGGCTTCAACATTAACACGCACGATTTATGTTGAGGTCGTACGACCCGATCCAGAATAATGTGTACACTGCCGAGGGTCAAACGGCACGAACCATAGATGCATCTATCTACTGCCGAGGCGTTCGGCCCGCTCCACAAGAAGAGAGGATACTTTATGAACAACCGATTTAAAAGCTAATACAAGGCTAATGCACAAAGAAGCACAATTTTTGTTAATGATCAAGCAACCCGCCAAAACTCAAGTAAGTGTAATTCGGTTTTTACAAATTCCTTAACAAGTTTTAATATAATTTAGGCACTTTAATTAACAAGTAGGGTGCAAACATTACAAGTATTTCATGATTTGGGTCCTAAGCTACCTGGACATAAGCATAATTAGTATCTACGCACGAACTCTCGTCAGCTCGTGCGTACGTAGCCCCCACAATTAGAAGCAATTAGTAATTTAAATCACCCATGGGGTAAATTT